AAGCTCAGAGGAGCACCTGAGCGAGGCTTTCCCTCGGGGGAGCTCCCAGCCATGCTTGCTCATGGTTGCAGGCTTTCCCGTGGGAACGGCTTTCAGGGAGGAGGGGAATCTGCAAGTGGTGCCCTACATCTCTTCCATCCCTCGTGGCACCGAGTCCATCCCTGCTCCCTGCCAGCATCACTTGTTTCTTGCCTTCCCTAATAGTTTCCCCTCACCTCCCATGGTCTGGGGCTCCTCGCTGCATCCCTCTACCCACCCTGGGGTGGATGGAAAATAGGACTAATGGGTCCCTGGGCCAATTTGAATATTGCTGGGTGACATTTCCAATGCGTAGCAGGGAGGTTTCGTCCTTTTCCCTGGGCAGGCTCACCTACCGGGTGCCAAAGTGCTGAGGGAGTCAGAGGATGGGTATGAAGGAGACTCTCACATCAGCTGCATAAATGAGATTTTGCTAAGCAGATTAGGGAAAGGTCTCTGGTTAGGTATGGCGCTCGGGGGAAGACAATGCTGGCTGGCGGTACACCCCATACCTCTGGGCCGGTGTTTTTGCGTGGGGTTAAGAGAGCGACCTTCGTGGGATATTAGGTTTAATGAGGGATTTTGCGTGATTAAATTAAGATTTATTTGCAATCAGTTGGAGTGCCCTTATTAAGTAAATTCCAGGCCTCGAATAATATGGCCATAAGGTTTTCCAGTCGTGCTTATTGCCAGGATGCCATTAAAATGGGGACAGGGGAAGGGATTAATGAGGAAAGGCTTAAGGTCAGAGCACTGGTGGGAGAGTGCGTGGTTGTTTCGGGAGGTGAGCTGGGCCTGTGTCCCGTTCTCAGCTGACCGTACTCGATCCCAAAAACCCCAGTTACAGCTGGTACCAGTGAACCCCCCTCCTGGAAACATATGCAATGAGTTTATCCGAAAGCCTCGGGGCTCATGCTGGCGTCAGAGCAGCTAAGTGGGGGTTATGCTAGCAAGCCACAGTTGCTGGGACTGAAAGGCTGTAATTATCCCCAATTAGATCGACTTTCTTGGAGCTGAGCTATCAAAGCAAAAGGCCCTTTTGGCTCGCTTTGCCCCCCGGCAAGAGCACAGATGTGACCTGCCGCGGCTGAGAGTGGTGGTGAAGAGCCCGATAAATGCCACTGAGGT